TAGCGAGGAGATTAGGACAAACATTACGTGCACTAAGATGGTTGATATATAGAACTTGAACAGTTGGCTATATTCAACTTACATAAACACTATTTGAGGTGACAGCATTAGTTTCCCAAAATTCAGGGGGGAATGTTTTCGTGCCAAACCTCAGGGGTGGCGCTGTAATAGAGTCATTCATAAACCATGTACAAGCAATAGTGATCTTCAAGCAGGGCTTCATTGATCGGTAAAGAGGCCCGCATGAAGTATTATATTTAGGCTGAGGGATTTGGACTTGGTTTTGTTCGGGCCTATCTGGTGATTGCTTGTGTTTTTAGGCTCACTTTGTGTGGGCCTTGTTTCTTGGTTAGGTTGGCCTCTTTTTTTTTTTTTTTTGAATGAAGCAATGACACTCGGTTGATGGATTAAAGAAGCTGCATTTTTTAAAGAGTAATGCTACACCCACAATTTTTTCTCATAAATTTTCCTTACAATTCTGACATAACAACTCACAATTGGTCAATAGTAATTTATTAAGTGGGACTCAGGTGAGACCTATTACGAGTTGACTAATTACGAACTAACATATCAAGATTGTGAGAAGAGATTGTGGGTGTAACATTTTCCTTTCTTAAAATACCTCACTCTAAAGTTTTAAATTTAATTTTTTTATGGCACCCCATAAATTTCATAACTGTCCTTAAAATTATACTTTTTATATTTGAAAAAAATCAATATTTCATTCCCTTCACTTATTCTATATACTCCACCACATCATTCCTAAAATAAAATGTTTAAATAATTAAATTAAAAAATAAAAAAAATTCAAGGTAAAAAAAAAAAATTCTTACAAATAATCTCAATAACATAATACAGTTAAACAATATAAAATATACAGTAAAACTTTTCTATAGTCACAATGTTGGGACCAACTAAATTTATTACTATAAGGAGGTTATAACTGAATAGATTGTTAGTTACAAGAATTATTGTTTATTTTAAAAAATAATTGTTTTGATTTCTTGTTTTGTAATTCATGTTTTAGTAGTACAAATGAATTGACTAATTAGATTCGACAATTTCACTACACTAATCAAATAGATATTAATGTATTTCCTAATCATCCAAATAAACTACAAGTTGCGTATGCTTTAACTAAAGAAGAAATCATTACTAAAATTAAACAAGAAAGGGAAGGACATAATCCTAAGGATTATGATATGAAAATATCAAAAGTTTTGTGTTAAGAAGCTCTAAATATGTTTGAGAAGCTAGAAATATTTTGTTTTCAACAAGAATGTGTTCATGTTGACGATTTACTACGTACTCGTAAAATAAAAGATGTGATAACAACTCTAAAGTATAAATTATTGTCCCAAACAATTTTAGATAAATATTTTATTTTATCTTAAACCGTTAATGTAATATAGAATATATTTTTTACAATATACATATAATTAATACTATTTAGAGGCGAGTTCTTTAAGATGGGACATAGAAAAAGGAGGAAATATAAAGGCTGAAAAGACAATTAAATCCTTGACTTAACATTAGCTATAAAAATGTCAAAGAACTTGGAACATAAATTTACTTAGAAGTTTATATGGAACATGAAGATCATAAATTTATTTTGTTGTGTAATCTCCACCGTCCATTTCAAATCGTATAGAGATTACGAGATCTCTAGGATAATAACAAATTTTTGGCAAAAAAAATTTGGATCCAACGAAATGTATAAGTGACACTACAGTCCTTGCCAATCTTTATTAGTTACTATGATGATTAATGTTGGGCACTAAACATGGCATTAATGACTTGTTATAATAAAGAGTAATGCTACAGTCACCAAAGTAGTGCACCGAATTCATGCACTAAATGACGTGACAAAATCCTGACCATTAATTAATTTTAACTTAATATTAATAGACGGTCAGGATTTTACCACATCATTTAGTGCATGAATTCGGTGCATAACCTTCAGTGACTGTATCATTTCCTAACATTAATAGACGGTCAGGATTTTGTCACATCATTTAGTGCATGAATTCGATGCATAACCTTCGGTGACTGTATCATTTCCGTATAATAAATATTGCAATGACTTCGTAAGATATGAAAAATAAGGAAGGTAGAAAGACAATCATACAGCAAAGTTACGTGGTTCAACAAACCCTTGCCTACATCCACAAATGTGAGTTGAATGACTAAAACAGAGAATGATAGTATAAGTCTAACATGCTCACGTTATGGCAACTAACATGTTGTCTTTGATTTTTTAAGAAATTTCCTAAGTAATTATAATCATTAATAGTTTCAGAAAAATTAGACTATTTATAAAGTTTTCAAATTAATTAACTTGACCAAGACTTGCATATTATGGTCCACTATTACCTCATAAACTTTATTATTATTATTTTTTTATGCTATTCAAAATCATTTTTACAATAAAGTAAAAATTTAATAGATGAAGAAGATTCGTAATTACAAGAAATGCAAAATTAAAAGCTTTTAGTTACTTCACATATAAATTTATGGTTATTTTTTCTTTAAAGTATTGGTAACTATTTTAATCTATATATATTTTATGTTGTTTAATTGTATTATGTTATTGAGAGTATTTATAAGAGTTTTATTCAGTGTTTTTTTTTTTTTTTTTAACTTTCAATTCAATAATCTAATATTTTATTTTATGAATAATAATGGTGGAGTATATAGTATAAGTGAAGAGTATGAGATATTAATTTTTTTCGTAATATAAAAAAACAACGAAGGAAGAGCATTTATGAAATTTATGAGGTGATTAAGGATGGAGCTTCTTAAATCCATCGGTATAGTGTCAATCACTTTATTTAAAATAAAGAAATAAATAGATAAGAGGCCACCTAACCAGGCAGCAAGGCCCACACAACCTAAGCCTAAACCCCTGAAGCTAAAATATAATACTTCGTGCGGGCCTTCATAACGCAGCCCAGTTCAATTAAACAAAACTGGCAGCCCAACAATTCCAGCACGTGGCTGTGAATCACAAAGACGCAAACCATCAACAAAATATTATGTGATTAAAAATCACAAATCAGAGATTACCCCCTGAGATCATGATGCGGCATAATTAATTAATGTGCAATTAAACTTGTATTCAAACCGCAATTGAACTGGTTTGCCAAACAAAATCCTGGGATTGAATTATGAATTTAATCCCATCAACAAAGCCGTTCTTGAAGATCACTATTGCTTGTGCAGGATTAATGAATGGCTTTATTACAGTGTCACCCCTGAGGTTTGGCTTCATCCTGAGTTGTACACTTCAATGTTAAGAGCTCTGTTGTAATGACACATTTAGTAGACATTCCACTTATAAAGAAAATGATAAAGTTGTGAAAACAAGAATGCATAATGGCAGAAAGAATAAGGAGGTCAAGCCGTGTTGTTTGATTTTATCAAATCGATGAGCCTAGGGGTGAGCACGGGTAGCGGGTAGAACCGGAACCGGGGGTAAGAACCGGAACCGGAACTGGAACCTACCTAGAACCTGCACTGTGCGGGTAGGTTCCGGTTCCAATTTTTTGGAACCGCTACTGTGCGGTTCCGGTTCTGGTTCTTACCAATGGAGGAATCGGAACCTGAACCAGAACCTGTAAAAAGGGTACCCTGTTTGGAACCTGTAGGGGGTACCCTGTTTGGAACCTGTTTGGAACCTGTTTTGGAACCTGTTTGGAACCTGTTTTAGAACCTATATTGGAACCTGTTTTTGGAACCTNCTGTTAACTCAGGAAGCGTGCCAAGCTCTTTTGGAAGTTGCCCAGATAATGGGAAATTGGAGGAAGAACACTAACCAAAGTCACATAATTCGGACGCACATCTCCCATTTGCATCTCGTGAAACATCTCTATCGCCTCCTTAAATTTCCCATTTTGTGCATACCCAGATATCATAGCATTCCACGAAACCACACTTCTTTGGTTTTTGGTTTTGAAATATTTCTGTTTGTATTTTAATGGCAGCCGTGTTTATAGTGGTGATTTTAAGTGTCATCATGCGCTCACTGAATGAGCACAAGAAACGTGCTTCTGTACTGTCTCTACCGCAAAAGGTTCTACCGGAGCCACGTCAGCAAAAGTTTCAGCCACCGCAGCAAAAGCTTCAAGTCCAGCCACTCCATCCAAAGGTTCCACTAGTCTCGATGGTCCCGAAATTATTTTCTTTGGATGAAAACCTGAAAAATTTCATTTTGAAATTTCATTTTGAAATTTTTCAAGTTTTTATCCAAAGAAAATAATTTCGGGACCATCGGAACTGGTGGAACCTTTGAATAGAGTGGCTAGACTTGAAGCTTTTGCTGGGGTGGTTGAAACTTTTGCTGGCGTACCTCGGTAGAACCTTTTGCTGTAGAGACAGTACAGAAGCACGTTTCTTATGCTCATTCACTGAACGCACGATGGCACTTAAAATCACCATTATAAACACAACTGTCATTAAAATACCAACAGAATAACCCTGTGGACTAAGCAAAATAAAAAAAAAACACAAAAGTGAAAAATAGATCAAAATTACAAAAAAAAATATTCCAAAACCAAAAACTAAATCCATTCCACTACAAACAGAAGTATTCAAAAACTAAAAAATGCATTTTCATAACATTCAGGACGGATGGCTACATTCCCTCCCTGTTAAGTTTCAGGGTTTCAATAACAATATAACATTTTCAGAGACATTCGCTCCCTGAGAAGTTTAAGGGTTCCAAGATCAACATAACATTTCAGTCTTAGGAAGAGAAACAATAACAAGAAAATAAAGGAAAATAAAAAATTCAAGAACTGCAACTATCGTCGTTTAGAGAGAGAAAAGTGAGAGATGCAACCGCCGTTAACAAAGAGATGAGAGAAATGCAACCTTGGAGAGAATTAACTGGCCTTTGTCTTGTTCTTTTCTTCTGAAGCAGATGCATCTTGGACGTCCCTTGTCCTTTTTCTTTTTTTTTTTTTCAAAATAACACATTAATGACTTAAAAATTTGTGCAGATGTTGACTCCACCGACTGAAAGATTTCAGAAAATTCAAAAGGAAGCTCCTGTGGATCAGACTGAGAGAGCAAAGTTAGGCTCTATCTACAGCTCATTTTCATCAATTGGTGGTACCGCCAATCCTTGTGGGACCGGGAGTCAAGTCAGTCAACAACCAAATATTTTTTTGAAATTATAAATTAGTTTCTTAAATTTTAGTATATTGCTAAATACCCCTAAAAATGATAAGTTAATCCCTGAAAATTTAATACAAGTAAAAGTGCCCAAAAAAATTAGTCCCTAAGGTTTTGAAATACTGCAAAAAATCTCTAAAAAATTATAGTTAACCCCTACAGATTTAAAATATAACAAAATCATCCTAGAACCTGAACCGGACCAGAGATGCTACTAATTCCCAGTCTAATCAGAAGGTCCGCTCCAGTTTTCAGAACATTAGTTTTTTGTGGTGAACCAAGTTCGGCCTAGTTTTCGGTTTATTTGGGCCTATTGAGAAAGAGTGTTGTTATTTGAGTCCACCTAAAGTCTAATTAAGCTCCATTATTAATTTTATAAAGTTTAAAATTATATTGTATATACAAAATTACTAAAATATATTATTTATATAAATAACTCTTAAATGGTTTTTCCAATTTTTGAAACTTTTTAACATGGTAGAATTCTAAGATAAGAATCTATTTATTTTAAACATTCAGTAAACTTTATATAATTTTACAAAAACTCTTAAAATTATTTGTTTTGTCAAGTAAACTTTTCAACACTGATAACGGTTTTTGAAATATGTTCGTAGGGCTTCCACAGGATTCTGTAAGGGCAATAAGCCAATAACTCCTGGATTGCTTCTTTTTCTCTATAGCTATACTGCTTACTAGCTTCATGGATTTTTTCAGGTTTTTTAGTAATTTATAATTAGAGTTTAATCACAATTAATAAGTAGAAAAAAAATTAAGTTTCTAATTTAATTCAAATTGCTAAGAACTTTATAACATTTTCCTTGAATACTAAAAATTCATTTAAATTTTCTATTTTTTTATTTATAAATTTAAGGTTGTATGTATTAGAGGGTCAAACATTGAGCAGACTGTATCACCTTTAATTATTGGTCTTATAATATTATTGAACTAATATAAGCGATTCCCGATATGGCATAATAGAAATATAGTATTGATTTTTTTTTTTTTTTTNAGGAAAATAAAAAATTCGAGAACTGCAACCATCGTCGTTTAGAGAGAGAAAAGTGAGAGATGCAACCGCCGTTAACAAAGAGATGAGAGAAATGCAACCTTGGAGAGAACATTTCAGTCTTAGGAAGAGAAAACAATAACAGGAAAATAAAGGAAAATAAAAAATTCGAGAACTGCAACCATCGTCGTTTAGAGAGAGAAAAGTGAGAGATGCAACCGCCGTTAACAAAGAGATGAGAGAAATGCAACCTTGGAGAGAACATTTCAGTCTTAGGAAGAGAAAACAATAACAGGAAAATAAAGGAAAATAAAAAATTCGAGAACTGCAACCATCGTCATTTAGAGAGAGAAAAGTGAGAGATGCAACCGCCGTTAACAAAGAGATGAGAGAAATGCAACCTTGGAGAGTAGATTCTGCGAAATAAGAATGAATGAAAAGTGGGAGATGCAACCGGAGTGGATGTTTATAACATGTAAGGTTGGAGTGAGTGTTGGACTTTTACAAATAGCTAAAACCGGAAATCGAAGAGAAGCTTGTCAGTTGTATTCTGTACAAAACTCAATCCAACGGTTCCTATTTACTTTGGAAACATAACATATGACAGCGGTGCCGTTAAGTCAACCAAATATTAAACAGGTATCATAATTTTATTGTTGAAATAATGTGTTTTTGTAGTTTTTTTCGTTTTTGATTTTTGTTTTGCCTCTTTTGTTTGATTGTGCTGGGTGACTTCAGCATTTTGGTTGTTGACTCCCGGTCCCACAAGGATTGGCGGTACCACCAATTGATGAAAATGAGCTCTAGATAGAGCCTAACTTTGCTTTCTCAGTCTGATCCACAGGAGCTTCCTTTTGAATTTTCTGAAATCTTTCAGTCGGTGGAGTCAACATCTGCACAAATTTTCAAGTCATTAACGTGTTAGTTTGAAAAAAAAAAAAAAAAAAAGATAAGGGACGTCCAAGATGCATCTGATTCAGAAGAAAAGAACAAGACAAAGGCCAGATGACATTTTCATCATCGCGTGACAAAGTCAACAATGTTTTTTAGGGTTCCCTTTTTTGACATGAAAAAAATACAAAAACACTTTGAAATAATGTGTTTTTGTAGTTTTTTCGTTTTTGATTTTTGTTTTACCTCTTTTGTTTGATTGTGCTGGGTGACTTCAGCATTTTTGTTGTTGAAACATCAATACAGAAGTTTATATTTAGAAACACATGATCTTAAAATCACCTCAAATATTGATATATTAATTTATTATTGTAAAGCTGTGAATAAAGTAAGGGTAATGCTATGCTTACTCACAATATTACTAATTATTTTATAATTCTAAAAAATATAATGATATAGTATAAATATTATATGCATAGTATCTGTACTATGCCGTTATATTTATCAGGATAATAAGATGGTTAGTAAGATTGTGAGTAAGCCTAATTTTATTCACTATGTTTGGCTTACTATTTTTATCCAGATTCTGGATCCTATTCTCTAAATAACGTTTGGCACATTATTCCAAGAATATTACCCTATTTTTTTTAATTACTTTTAGACCTCATAAAGTTATTAATTTCATCAAATACACCCTAAAAAAAAGTTTAAAAATTATCAAAAACACCCCCGTAACCCATACTCGCCAGATTCCAGCAACCACCGTCGGTGGTAGCCGAAATCTATCCAACCGCCAACCTGCCGACCATAAATGGCCGGAAGTTCACCGATCTGGCCTTTTCCGGCCAGATCCACCACGGATTTGGCCGGATCGCCTTTTTCGGCCATCGACGGCCACGGCAGGCCGTAGATCTGGCCTTTTCTGGCCAGATCTGTGGTGGATCTGGCCGGAAAAGGCCATAACGACTCGTTACGACACAGATCCGACTAGTCTCGTGTCGTAACGCGATTTTCTGGCCAGATTCCGGCGGTGGTGGCCAGAAACCGGCACTGCAGGTGGTGGGGGTATTTTTGTCAATTTACATGTTGGGGTATTTAGAAATTAGCAACTTAGGGGGTTTTTTAATAAATTTTTAAATTTTACCTCGTAATACTCCCATATTCAATTATCCAATACTATTCCCAAAATTCTACCCAAAATATAAACCAAACGCATACAATTGTTATTTCAAAGTGTTTTTGTATTTTTTTTCATGCCAAAAAAAGGGAACCCTCAAAAACAATGTTGACTTTGTCACGCGCTGATGAAAATGTCATCTGGCCTTTGTCTTGTTCTTTTTTCTGAAAGATGCATCTTGGACGTCCCTTCTTTTTTTTCTTTTTTTTTTTTTTCAAATAAACACATTAATGACTTAAATTTGTGCAGATGTTGACTCCACCGATGAAAGATTTCAGAAAATTCAAAAGGAAGCTGTTGATGAGAGAGCAAAGTTAGGCTCTATCTACAGCTCATTTTATCAATTGGTGGTACCGCCAATCCTTGTGGGACCGGGATGTCAACAACAAAATATTTTTTTGAAATTATAATTAGTTTCTTAAATTTTAGTATTTCTAAATACCCCTAAAAATGATAAGTTAATCCCTGAAAATTATACAAGTAAAAGTGCCCAAAAAAATTAGTCCTAAGGTTTTGAAATACTGCAAAAAATCTCTAAAAAATATAGTTAACCTACAGTTTAAAATATAACAAAATCTCCTAGAACCTGAACCGACCGAGAGGCTCTTTTCCCAGTCTAATCAGAAGGTCCCTCGTTTTCAAACATAGTTTTTTTGTGGTGAACCAAGTTTGGCCTAGTTTTTGGTTTATTGGGCCTATTGAGAAGGGTGTTGTATTTGAGTCCACCTAAAGTCTAATTAAGCTCCATATTAATTTTATAAAGTTTAAAATATATTGTATATCAAAATTACTAAAATAATTTTATATAAATAACTCTTTAATGGTTTTTCCAATTTTTGAAACTTTTAACATGGTAGAATTCTAAGATAAGAATCTATTTATTTTAAACATTCAGTAAACTTTATAAATTTTACCAAAACTCTTAAAATTATGTTTTGTCAAGTAAACTTTTCAACACTGATAACGGTTTTTGAAATATGTTCGTAGGGCTTCCACAGGATTCTGTAAGGGCAATAAGCCATAACTCCTGGATTGCTTCTTTTTCTCATAGTCTACTGCTTACTAGCTTCATGGATTTTTTCAGGTTTTTTAGTAATTTATAATTAGAGTTTAATCACAATTAATAGTAAAAAAAAATTAAGTTTCTAATTTAATTCAAATTGCCAAGAACTTTATAACATTTTCCTTGAATATAAAAATTCATTAAATTTTCTATTTTTTATTTATAAATTTAGGTTGTATGTATTGAGGGTCAAACATTGAGACGACTGTATCACCTTTAATTATTGGTCTTATAATATTATTGAACTAATATAAGGATTCCGATATGGCAATAGAAATATAGTATTGATTTTTTTTTTTTTTTTTTTTTGGCATATATGCTGATTCTATGTTTCATTGGATATATGCATGCACTTGTATTATTGGACTTGTTCAAAAAGGAGGAAATATAAAGGTGAAAAGACAATTAAATCCTTGACTTAACATTAGCTATAAAAATGTCAAAGAACTTGGACACTAAATTTACTTAAAGTTTATATGGACATGAAGATCATAAATTTATTTGTTGTGTAATCTCCACCGTCCATTCAAATCGTATAGAGATTACGAGACTCTGGGATATAACAATTTTGGCAAAAAAAATTTGGATCCAATGAAATTATAAGTGACACTACAGTCCTTGCCAATCTTTATTAGTTATATGATGATTAATGTTGGGCACTAAACATGGCATTAATGACTTGTTATAATAAAGAGTAATCTATAGTCATCGAAGTAGTGACAATTCATACAGAATGACGTGCAAAATCCTGACCGTTGATTAATTTTAACTTAATATTAATCGACGGTCAGGATTTGTCACGTACTCGTGCATGAATTCGGTGCATAACCTT